GCCAAAAAGCTCAAATAATATCCTCGAGCGCACGCATTTGGGGCACGACTTCGTAAGCTCGCAAGATCACCCGCCGCGTCCGCGAACGAAACAGCCAGCTGTTGCACGCTGCCTTGAGAACGATGCAAGGTGAGCTGCCGCGACGGTGACGGCTTGAGAATCTCACGTCTCTTTTAGTGCATACATGTATTAGTCACTGCACAATACGATGTGAAGCCACACGAAATTGATAACGTCGGCAAAAGAGCTTGAAGATATATACCTGCTGAGCTATCGCGTATCATATGTCGCAAACACACGTTGACCAACTTACGTTTTTGCCTAAAGTTTATGACATGCGCAGGTATCGGTACCACGAGTGCGCGTCTTATATAAATAAACATTTGCATGACACGTTCTTGACCCATTTTTAGAACTTGCCTTGGCCTGTTTTTCTGTCCTATAGGTGGCACTTAACGAATGTCATGTATATCAGCTTTGATTCGACCTACTAGGGCATAGTACGTACTGCACGGCGTTATTACGAAGAGGTGAAAAAAGACAAAGCCAACGATGAAATGGGCCACGAAAGGATGTATACATTTCCATTCTCCGTCTCTTTTTTTCGCGCCATATCGTATAATATTATATCGCATGTGCTGGCTCATAGATGGAAATGGTTTCGCACGCCGTTCGCGACCAGCGAGCATCAACAGCAGTCGCGATCCAGGACCTTTTATCTTTGATATTGCTTTGATAATACTTTGATATTTACGCTGGGTGCTTCCTACTGCACCTGTATTGCATAAAATTGCAGTATCATTACCTGATACGGGGTATCACAAAATGAGGCTTCACATCCAAATTAAAAGACATGAGCTAGAGCGCACTGTTCCTTTTCAAACTGGGAAAACCAGCCGGACGTGAATAACTGATCAGGGCAGTTAGTATGATAAGCGCAGTTATACTCGCATGGGTCGAGGAGATTGTTCGTTTCAAGGTAATGTACAAGTCTGTGGTTTATCATTTTTTCAAAAAGTTTACACATGCAACTTGTAAGTGCGATATGCCTGTAACTACTAAAGGAAGATGGAACTTTGCTTTGCTTTAAAATTGGAACAATAATGGCTTCTTTCCAGGCAGAGGGGATTTCATCGGAAAACCAGATAGAGTTATACAGGGAAAACAGAGTTTTTTTGTGTTTCAGAAGGCAGTTGTTTTAATATTTCGTATACTATATGGTCCGAACCTGGAGCTGATTTATTGCAAACATGTAGCGACGCTTGTAACTCGACCAATCTAAAAGGGTAGTTGTACGACTCATGTTTAGAGGATTTTCGCTGTAGTTTCTCTTTTTCGATTTTCCTTTTGTGTCGCTGAAAAGCTGCAGTGTAAAGCAACGAACTGGACACCTCTTCGAAGTGGGCACCGAGGGAGTTCGCCTGGTCTTCTAAGGTGTCCCCTTGTGTGTCTACGAGAGGTAGTGAAGATGCGTGTCGTCCTGCTACCTTGCGAATCATGTTCCAGACTTTAGTTTCTTGTGTATGCGAAGTGATGCCCGATAAAAACTTATGCCAGCTTTCTCTCCTAGCCTGCCGGTGCGTTCTCCTGCCTTGGGACTTGATTTTCTTAAAGCTTTCAAGATTCTCTGCTGTCGGCGAGTCCCGTAGCAATCTCCACGCTTTGTTTTGTTGTTTGCGTGCATTGCGACATTCAGTGTTCTACCATGGGACACGTCACCTGCCAGGCAGTCCAGAAGTTTGCGGGACGCATTTTATCGCAGCGTTGGTCAGAAAAGCAGAAAAGCATTGCACAGCACTATCTATGTTTACACAAGATAGGTAAGTTCAACCCAAGTGAGTAATCTGCGAGAACTGTTCCCAATCAGCTTTGTCAGTGATCCATCTGGGGACCTGTGGGCGATATTCATTTGATATGGGTGTGCTTAGCGTTACGGGAAAGTGGTCACTTCCGTAAAGATTATTCATGAAATTCCATGTCAGTAGAGGAAGCAGGGATGGTAAGACAATACTGAGGTTTATTGACGAGTAGGTATTGCTCGCGAGGCAGTAGTATGTGGGCTTTTTCCGATTTAAAAGGCACGCGCCAGAAGTAAAAAGGAACTGTTCAATCAGGCAACCTCGAGCATCGCAACGAGAGTCACCCCATAGATTGCTATGTGCATTGAAATCTCCAAGGAGGATATATGGTTCTGGAAGTTTATCTATTAGGGACTGGGATTCACGTTTTTTAAGATGGTAGTGTGAAGGTATGTAGACAGAGCAGATGGTGACGAGTTTGTTCAGGAGAACTACACGAATAGCCACTGCTTCAAGAGATGTTTCGAGCGGTAGATGAGTACATGCAATCCCTTGATTGACTATTATGGCCACACCACCAGATCACGTGACGGCTTCACTCTTGTCCTTTCGAAAAATATATACTGGCGTAGAAAATTGGTGATCTTGGGTTTTAGGTCTATTTCTTGTACACACAGCACTTTTGGTGACTGTTATTGTAAAAGTTCTTGAACATCGTCAAGGTTTCTCAGAAGTCCTCTGACGCTCCACTGTAAAATTTGTGTCTCCATATTTAATGTAGTTAAGTGATCTGTGTAGAGAAACGTTGCCTTAAGTTACAGGGCCTGTTGGGGGCCCTGTAATACGTTGTTTCTCTTTCTTGTTTCGCTCCAAAGAGCTGCGCCTTTCCTTTGGCGTCTGGGGCGCCGGAGGAGTATGGCTTGTGTCCATCACCTCTTCTGAGGTGGCGGATGGTGCCTGCTTGGCAGGCACGTTTATGGCAGTTTCGGACCTGACTGCACTTGCAGTGGTCCGTGGTCCAGCAGACTCTGAAGTCTGCTGGCCCTTTTGAACAGAAGGCGGAGCAGTACAGACTGCTCCAGCTGGAGGTGCTTCTGGCACAACCACAGTCACATTTGGTTTGAATCCCGCGGGTGCCGAAATACGTGGCACGGCGCCTCGACGCGACGTCGGCGAAGGAAGGTTCGGAATGATTGTGTGTAGAAAAACGTTGACGTGCCTGTTGTAATGACAGGTTGAACCTGACCTTAAGTTCTAATATTTGTTTTTTTCCATGTAGGGCATGATCGGGAGTAGGCAGCATGATCTCCTTCACAGTTAGCGCAACAGGCTTCTGAAGTGCACTTTTCGGTTACATGTTCACAAGATGTACACTTCGCGCACCTAGCGCACCCTCTGCACGTTTGGGATCCGTGTCCGAAGCGCTGACACTTGAAACATCGGTGAGGATTCGGTATATAAGATCTGACACGAAGCTTGCAGTAACCAGTTTCTATGGAGTCAGGAAGGTTGCTTGTACCGAGGGTAACTATGATGTGCTTTGTTGGGGTCTGTTTATTATCTCGCCTGATTATTATTCTTTGTACTTTCAGTACATTTTGTTGCTGCCAGCCTTCGAGCAATTCACTTTCAAACAGCTCGAGGAGGTCATCATCAGATATGACACCACGCACTGTGTCCATTGACCTATGTGGGCCCACTGATACTGGGATGTTATCAAATGATACGAGTTTTGTGACCTTGTCGTACTGAGTCTTGTCGCGAACTTCTAGAAGGAGATCGCCATTCCCCATCTTAGTTACAATATAGCCAGTGCCCATTGCATCTGTGAGCGTTTTCAAGACAAGAAATGGTGAAATAGATCAAACTGTTCTTTTCATTTTCGCTGTGGATTACATGGTACTTGGGGAAGGTCTGCTTAGGCTGTGCAGTAAATAAGCTGTCATTGGTGCGCCACCTTTCCAGGCGGCAATCAGGGAGTGTCGGAAAAGGGTTTTCCATAAGAAGCATTTTAAATTCGGCGGCGATGGTGGCCACCTACCACCGAGCCCAACAAGGGGACGCTACAAGGTTGAATAGTGAACACTTGGCGACGCCAGCCATGCATTGCCGCTATAACCGAATATAACTACCCAAGGTTGGGTAACTACACAGGGTTAACTCTCGCCGCCAGAAAATTTGGAAGTAAATGGAAAAGAGAAGATGACAGGACAGATAAAAAGTGAGAGATAAAGACAAAGATGTTTTTTATTTATTTTTTTTTTTTATTTTAAGACATACTGCAAGTTCATTGAAGGGCCCAAGCAGGAGGGGCATCACGAAAAAACAAAATTTATGCACAATACACATGATACACTGATTAAAATAGTTTGAACAAATACAGGAATGCATCAAAGTTACAAAAGTCCGCAATACACGTATACACTGTTGGAAATATATTGTACACATACACAAGAGTACATCGAAGTTGCAAAACAAAGCAATCAGAATTCCAAATGTTTAAAGGAGTGAATATTGGTCACAGCCGATTCAGTTAGTTTATTCCAATCTGTAATAGTACGCGGAAAAAAGGAAAAACTTAAAAAATATTAGTTCGAGCGCTGTACGGAGTCATCGAGGTGTCTATGCCGTGTTTGTCGGGAAGTGAGTGGCTGAAGGAATTCCTCAGGTTTAAGTGAAAGTTTGTTATTTTTAAGCAAGAATAGAAATTTTAACCTTTGAATTTGACGGCGTGATTGAAGTGTTGGAATGCCATGCTCTTCCATTAATCTTGTAGGGATGAAATGTAGGTACAGAAAGATAGGAAAAGGCGACTGCCGATTTCTCTTGGGTGGTTCAGCCCAGGGGTGCCGTCTACGTGAAGCCGGGGCAAAAGGGGTGTGTTGCCTCCGCCGGGGGGCCTTAAAGGTCCAATCACCCGGCGTCGGCTCAACCCCCAGAATCCCCTTTTCCCCGGGCACGGCAGAGCCACGCACGGCTAAGCGTGGGAGGGAGCCAAAACTCTCCCGTTAGCTCGGGTCCGTGGTGTCGCTACACACCAAACGCTTACTTGCGCAGGCGCCCCTGCGGGGGCGTTCACATGAGTAGCAGCGCCACATTTGTGCAGTCGACTGAATGTGTTTGAAGAAAAAAAATACACAGGCAGATATGCCATGGTTGTGTCAAAATAGCCTGACAGAAATCATCACTGACCGCGGTACTAGATGTGACATGCGTCTCAGGACCCAGTACCCACTTTCAAATTTATTACGTCTTCCGTGGAGCTGTACGCAGCTGCTTCGTAATTTTTTTAATCGCTTCTCTGGGTACGCCGCAGGCAATGTAGAGTACCGGTACAGGGTTCAAACACACGAGCCTTCTGGAATACTTGCGCAGTCCACGACAGAAACCCGGACCAGTGTGTTGCCGAGATGAATGTAGCTTCTGAGAATCAAACAGCGCCAAGAGGAAGATCATTACACTCCACTGCACAATACAGCAACTGGCATTCAAGCTTTCATGTCTCTGCTAACATGTTTTTGGAGTTACTCGAACACGGATTGCAATGACAAGAAAATTGGCAAAACTGCCCTAGAAAAATAACTTAGCACCCTAACTTTCGAAGCAATATTTTTGCAGAAAACCGATGCTAAGTAGTGTTCAGTCTAATCCCGTCTGTTCCGACGGGCACCACCACTGAAGATGAGTGCGCCGAGCAGACCTGGCACCCACTACCACGGCACTGACTCTTGCTGCCGGCTGTATGTAGTTGGTCACAACAGTACGGGCATCGACTTCATCAGAGGGCATTTCAATGTCCAGTTCATGCAGGAGGTCTCGGGCCCATTTCTGGCAGTTGTTCTCGGTGTAATGGTACTGGCCGTAGTCGCACATCTTCCTCAGTAGCTGGTCAATGCGTTCTTTGGGAATGTTCCGCTTCGCGAGATATCTCTGCAAAAACAAAGAAGCCAGTGAGGGTGTGCTGAGCTCGAGCACTCAATGTAGATGACAAAGTAACTGGAGTACAAGTAAATGCAAATGTGGTGCAACAGAACGGCAGCAAATAGTACGTATTAGGTTTAGCTATAGGATTCGACAGCGGGCGCCACTGCACAGTTAATTGCACACAATTGTTAAATATAAAAAAGTATTCACAAAAGAGATAAAACACCATCGTTACAGTACACACTTACTTCAACACTTTGATACCAACACTTTGATTATACTACAGGCACGAATTCACAACTCTATTATGGTCGGCATTGTAGCTTTTAAATTTACCGCGCAAGTAGCACAATAGATGAGGCTGAGTCCAAAGTTTTGCGTAAGGATGCGCATGTTTTACAGTGCGTTAGGAATTATTTTCATTTTCAGACTGTATGCGTAGAAGGGCATGCAGATGATTAAATAGTTGCAGTGTACAGTGATATGTTAGATTAATTATAATATATTTGTGGGGGCTCCCAAAATTACGCTGCGCAGTGCATAATAGCAAAGACACTACATAAACTGCTGTGCGTTTTATTACCCTCTTATCTATACACTCTTCAAAGACAAGCGCGTACAAAACTGTCGAGATATGTACACAAAGTTGCCTAATATGCGATATTATGCATGTGTCAACATTCAGGTCTGTCCGAACGATGAAGGTAGTTCGATGGCTTTGCAGCCACAGAAAAATTAAATGGCGCAGATTGACTTAGCGTTTTATTAACATTTGGAACGAACATACAAGAGCGACGCCCATTGATGAGAACGTCAGCGTTGGGGAAAAATGCCACGCATCTGTACAAATTTGTCAGAACACGCTTGCTTCGAAGCACACAATAATTACAGTCTATGCAAAAAAGCCTAGATACAGCAGACACTCATGTAATATATACTCGGCGACAATTTTACTCGGCAGCAGGGTAGAAGCTACGCAACAAGAGGGCATGCCTGGTAGCGCGCAATTTTTTTCATTCACCTTGCTGTAATAGGTGCTGCCTTATCTATAGTAAAACTCAAAATCCAGCTGCACGATGTCGTAGGTAAAATACAATGTTGTCCGGTATGTAAAAATACCCTCTTCTTCTTCTCTGTTCTTTAACAACACCTTTTCAGCTAGCTGGTTTCGCAAAGTAAATCAGAATTACGTGGGTAGTAAGTGTGCAGCCGCTTACGCGCTGTTTAGATCTCCAAGCAAATTATTTTCTCACTGACACTAAGATGTACACTGAACAATCTTGAGACGTTTTCCTGTGAACATTTTTTTTTCAGTATGTAATTTTCGAAGGGTGTTAATGATGCCAGTAAGTCAATCTGATATCAGCCATAAACAGCCGTAATACTTGCGGAGCAATGCGAATATGCGGAAGCCTTCGCTCCAATGTCAATATAGTATATAGTTGGCACCGAGTATATACGACTATATTGTCACGGGGTCGTGACGTGGCCGAAGACAGGAGACTTCGTGTTGGGATTTGATTGTTTATTTGGGCGAACCTGTGCCCGGTAAACGGAAAGTCCAATTACAGCAGCAGTCTCGCACAGATAGCAGTCTCGGACTGATAGCGGCGAACGGAGCGTCGGCCTTCGATCAACAACTGACAAGCGGCGAAGCGCGTCGGCATTTATACTCTTGCCGTCGGATGTTCTAGCGTTATCGCTGGCGGTGGCGTAGGTTCCAGAACAATCTGTACCGTTCGCACAGTGGGCGTGATCTTATCGAAATGATCTACTACAGTCCGGAACCTTCTCGAAAACTGCAGGCGCGGTTTGCGCTGAGAATCGTGTGGTGTTTTGGGACGATAACAAAAACTTGGGAAATGAAACGTGGCAATATGGCTCCTGAGCCTTTATAGTGTTTGGCGTAGATGATTGTCATTATGTCGTGGTGATGTGAATGGCTGCCATGTTGAAGTAGAAAGTAAAGAAGTAAGTTCGAAATGGCTTCCTATAATGGATGATTCTGTTACATAAAGACTCTTTGAGGCCGTCGAGTACAAGAAGCTAATCTGTCTGAGATTCAATTTGGAATGTAGATTTTGAATAAGTGCGCAGAAAATCCGTCAGGGCTCAAGGATTTCTTGCTACAGGTTCTGAGTTTGCACCCTGCTATTTGGACGTTTTCAACATTTTCACTTACGTTCCAGTTTACCTGACGCAGATTTACTGAGCTGACGTCATAAAGCACTTGTGTGGATGACTCACACATGCAACACGGTAGTACTCCTTTCGAGAGCCATCTGTGCTACCATAACATTGAGCTTGAAATTTGCAACAACACGTCCGCATTGTAAACCATTTTGTGCATGACGAGCACCGGAAACTATAGAGCTGTTTAGTGTTTGCAGAGCCTTTTCAGAGGTAACTACGTTTGCTCTAATAATTTGTTAAACACTTATAGACAGGTAACCGCAAATAACAGACATTTAACAACAGATAATAGTTCAAGAGTGTAGGAGTTCGAGCTTGTTGGTAAGGCTTTATTGATACGAAACAACGCGAAAAACGAGGACACGAAAAGAAACAAATGGAAACGAGCGCCGACTATTAACTAATACGTTTATTTTTGGCAAGCACAAATAATTAGGCTTTTACACATGACGGGAAAGTGCAGGGGGATGGAAAAAGCGCGTGCGCCTCACTTATACATTGCATACACTTAACGGTGCAGATAGCTTATAGCTTCTTTCTGTTTCTTTGTTTCTGTGCGCTTGTTTTTCACACTGTTTCGCATTGATGAAGATTATAGTTGATTCCTTGCGAGTAAAGTGACAGGAAACCTGGAAAACGTACGCCTGATTTCGCAAACTCATACTAGAGTTGAATATCTGGCGAAGTGTTAAAATGTGGAATATTTTCTTAGAGTGTATAAAGCCCCGCCGCCGTGTTCTAGTGGCTATGGTACTCGACTGCTGACCCGCAGGTTGCAGGATTCGAATCCCGGCTGCGGCGGCAGCATTTCCGATTGAGGCGGAAATGCTGTAGGCCCATGTGTTCAGATTTGGGTGCACGTTGAAGAACCCCAGGTGATAGAAACTTCCGGACGCCTCCACTACGGCGTCTTTCATAATTACATGGTGGTTTTGGGATGTTAAACCCCACATATCAATCAATTAGATAGTATAATAAAATCTAACTGTATAGAACATGAAGCGCACACAGGTTTTTGACCGAATTCAGAGAATAACACATTAGTACACGCCATGCCTCCTTAAAGAACGTGACTGAAAAAAACAAAGTACCATGTCATGCGTAGCGCAATGGCACGAACCCTATAGCCAGCACAGGGCACTCGAAAACTGTGTACGGTTGAAAACTTCTTTTTGATGAGAGACCTGCTAAAAATATATTCTTAAGGATGTCATATGTACTGCGTCTTGTTTTTTTTTTTTTCAGTCTTTGAAGACCAAAGGATGAAAGTACTGTCATAATTGAGGGTCATTTCTAATTCCAAGGTATTCCTTGTATTTATTTTTTGGTAACTAAGTGAACATAAAAAAAAAGCTTCATCTGTCATCATTCTACTGAAATGTGCGATTGAAAAAATAATATTGACGCTGAACACAAAGCCGACCTGAATATGGATGTGCTCATAATCAGAGAGAAAGCTGGGCTTATTGGTAGGTATTCAAAGTAAACATACAGGGCATGTGTGTAAGCACGGACATAGCAAAGAACTTCAGTAGACACCTGAAACGTCGACGAACAACAGGAAAGGCGCACGACGGTGGACAAGAAAGAGGCGCGAAACCCTATCTGCGCATGCTCATACCGTAGGCGAACCATTCAATCCGGCACGCGTAGGGGTCTATGTGAAAGATAACTATTAAGACAGTTAGTTTTGTTTTTTGAACAGGGTAATCAATAGTGAGCTCACGCATGCGCTATCACAGTTATCGGTACGCCTGGCTTCGAACAATAAACGCGTTTCTTCATTCTCATGCCGGTGAAAATCACGCGTTCATCGAATTTCGGCGTGCAATAATACTCTCGACCATTCGCAAATGGATTAGATTGTGAGCCTCCGGTTAGCGATATCTTATACTTCATTACACTCACTCTCACTTGCGTCTGTGTTTGCAGCACGATCTGCCTCTATTATACCATCAATATGGGCACATCATTGCACAGCGCCGCCTCTATTCTGGGCGAATATTTTGGCAAAATTCACAAAGAAGCGTCGGCGCTCACTTTGACTGCTACATGTTCAATACTTTTGTATTCCTAGAAATGAGCTGACAACTATAAGCGCACACGTCTTAAAAAAGGCATGCATCTATACAAAGTGCATGATGACGAGTGCGCGAAGCTATAGGCCCTATAAGGTCCATAACGTCTACGTCAGAGTCGTGTACTACTATAAAGGACGGACACATGGACGGGCGCACGAATGAATGGACGGATGGCCAAACGGACGGCGCAAATAATCATGTATTGTAGTGTCATATATTCATTGATGTACAGATCAAGTACGCTTTTTTTTTTTCTTTCCATAGATGTTTTCTCCGATGGAGGCGGCAATGTTGTAGGCCCGTGTACTCAGATTTGGGTGCACATCAAAGAACCCCAGGTGGTCGCAATTTCAGAGCCCTCCACTTGGCGTCTCTCATAATCATATTGTGGTTTTGGGACACTAAACTCCACAAATCAATCAATTAATCAATTATTTACATAGATGTTTTCGTTCTTCATTGTGCAGGTGTTCAGTTTTGGTTTTGTGGAGCGCGACGCACGCCAACAAGGTTCAGCCCTCATGAGCTTCACCCTTAAAAACATGGAGGGCGCTTGAAGAGTATACAACGCGATAGCGTAATTGGACCAATTTCACATCGGTGTCAGCGTCGTTGTTTGTCAGCGAACAATCAGCGATAACCTTAAGGTAAAATTAAAAACTGGCGCAAATATTATAGTTATGAAGCCAAGCCGCAATGGAATCCCGGCCTGCATGGGAAGCAGGCGTTCTACCACGAAACCAGAATCGTGCCCCAAGCTACTTCAGATAAATATCCCGCGCGTGTGTTATATAGTGCGTCGACTCACAATAAGACATATTGACTGCGTGGGCTAAGCCTAAAATCTCACCAGTTGTCTCAACATGTGAGTTGCGCAAAGAATATATGGTTTAAACCTTCCATACCCACTACAAAAGGCTCTGCTACCACCCATCGTGATCAGTCACATCAAGAAAAAACGGCATACTGTCTTAGGGCACGCCTAGTGGTTACCTCGCTTGTAGTATGCACTTCGCAACGGCACTTTCAATATGCACTCTAGGGTAGTTTAAAAATGTGCTAAGTTCCTTTCGTCGCGGCGCGGTTGAGTCAACAGGAACATGACACCTGGCTAGCGATTTAAAGCACGATGCCAACGGGTGCGATTAGGCTATCGCGTTGAATTCTTGCAGGCAAATCTCAAGCATCGTCAAAGTTTTTTTTATTTGATTGATTTATTTATTTATTTATTTATTTATTTATTTATTTATTTATTTATTTATTTATTTATTTATTGATTGATTGATTGATTGATTGATTGATTGATTGATTGATTGATTGATCGATTGATTTATGTGTGGGGTTTGACGTCCCACAACCAGCATATGATTATGAGAGACGCTGTAGTGGAGGGCTCCGGAAATTTCGACCACCTGCGGTTCTTCAACGTGCACCCTAATCTGAGCACACGGGCCTACAAGATTTCCGCCTGTTCTTTTATTTGAATCAATCTCGAATTTTTACTCACGGACCACGCAGATCTTTCATTCACAGCCAACAAGGCACATGCTCGATTTACTCTGAAAGGAGCTCCTGAACGCCAACGCATTAAAAAGAAAGCCGATTTGAGATGAGCTTCTGTCCGCAAGGCCCCTGGCCGATCGTCACCTGCTTTCGGTGCGCGCCACAAATTCAAGAGTCGACTCTACTCTTCTGCCATGTACAGCAATGTCGTTTATACTTACCTTCTTTCCGTAGTTCTCAAGAGCGGCCCTCTTTTTCCAGTACGTGCGCCCCGTCAGGTCTCCCTCGTGGTTGTCGGCGTCGCAGATGAGCACCTCGTCCTCGCCGTAGTCGAACACGAGGAGCCAATGCATCGCCCACGAGTTGCCACTTGCCGACTGCGACGAAGACGTCAGCAGGGAAAAGGCGTTGACAGGCGCCATTGATGGAGCTGCCCTGCTGAAGCGGCCTACCGCAGAGGTACACCTCGCACCAGTCAGAATACAGGCAACCCGACATGCTGGTTGTATTCCTCGACCTCTTCGTCGTCCACGCAGTCTCTCAGCAACCACTCCGTAGCACGGCAGGCAGCTATCTGCGGAGTGAAGGTGGGACCGAACAGACCCGGTTTGTTCTATGCGAGATAAAGAAACACGCACATTGCACGCATTCGCGCAAAGCAGGTTTAACAGGCAATGCGTAGCTGAGATATCACTGTAGCGGCGCTGCCATCAGCATCATACACGTTATCAGGTCCTGAGAGGGGTTATATTCCAACAGGGGAATCCCCTTTTCTCAGGCGGCTTGTTTGTCTACTACCTACTATAAGTCATAAAAGAAAAAAAAAAAACGCCAGGCCTCCACGCAGCACAAAGAGTGGCCTTTTAGAGCCTTTTCTCAACACTTTTTGAGTAACTGATACAAACACACTTGCTGGGTACCCACGGCACCGTAAATCATCATAATTTTTGTGTACTATGCTATCCTTCATCATTCTTCGGAGAAGCGTGGTATCCGTTGCAAACTTGCAAGGAGTTATGTGCACTATTTTCATGCAGTAGCTGATGACGATGAAGAATTATGCCTGAAATGGGTATGCGCCCCTCACCCTTAAAAAAAGTAAGTAAAAAAGGGGGCAAGTGCAAGCAAGTAGGCAGTAACTGCAGCGGTTACTACCTCTATTGGACCGTTACTAAACTTTTGCTACATGTTTACTACCTACGTTAGTAAACAGTAACTAGCTGCAACCTTTACTAAGTTCTCGCTACCGGTTTACTACGTAGGTAAGTAAACAGTAATTAACTAGAATAAAAGAGGTAGTAACTGCAGCCCTTACTAACTTTCTTGCCCCGTTGCTACCTTTTTACTATGCAGCTGTTGGCTGTCTAATCGAAAACAGTAGGTGATTCTTATTGTGACAGTTTAACAAAGGAATCGTCTCCACGTATCATCTTTCAATTAGAAAAAAAAAGACGCAGGAGATATCCACAGATAATGAAAAAAGATTTTGTTTCAAAGTACGCAAACGAAATATGTAAACGTCATTCTAACATTGGCGTAATAGAGAAGTAGAAGTTAACGAACCATAAAGACGTTTCCCACGCACTGCAATAGACAATTACAACAAATTCAGTAAATTGCAGCAAAATTAATAAGACAAGCGGATCACAATTAACAAGGTGGTGGAATTTATCTGGAGTCCCTCACTACGGCGCATGGTTGGTAACGGCTAGGGTAGTAACAGTTACTAAATGCTGGTTGTGACAGGAAATGTAGTAACTGTTTATAGCTTGGCGGTTACTAACTGTGCTTACTACAAGGGTTGTGACATATGTGACAAACCATTACTACCTCAAAAATACAATACCTTTTTTTTTTATGAGTGCAGTTAATGGGTGAAGCAGAACAACCTTTTGTAATGGGTTGGATCATTTAACGACCAACTCTTTACGCGATTCTCATTGTGTGACACCTGGTTGTTCCTTTGATGTTTTAACCGCTTTATTACTCATTTAGCGCAATTCTTTTCCCGACATCAAGCCTGCAGCCGCAGGCCAGTTTTGAAAGTTTCAAGGGCCGGCGTGGCTCAGTGGCACGCAGCGGGCTCGTGTTCGCATCTGTCTTTGTCCTTCTTACTTTTTTAAAGATGATAGTCTTTCTTGGGGACCTTCGAAGGAAAAATTTTGGTCCTTCTGTCTGTCTGCCTGTACATTTGTCAGTTTGTCTGCCCTAACGATACCTCAAGCGGCACCAAACTGCCAACACCACCTGCAGCGCCACCAATATTGCTCAGGGTATAGCGTTCATAGTTGTGCGATTCTCAATAAAAAGCAATTATTCCGCATATCTGAGGCGCCACAACAATGCTTCGATGTTTTGTATGTCTGCCTTTATACTTGAAGAAGCACACACAAGTAACTCTAAGGAATGTAGCGTTTAATCGCGCTGCGCTCACAGTGCAACGCGATGCCCAAAAAGGTGTTTCCAACGCTTTGCTACGACGTCACGGTGGTGGCACCTGCCCGTCGCTTTTCATCTACACCTTATCACCTCCGAGACTGGAGCGCATCTTTCTCCGCGGGCTGCACGCTTTCGTTTTCGAAGATAACTGCCAGATGGCACTTGTGTCTAACGTACCTTGAAGTGCTCGTTCGCCTCCGCTCCACGCTCGAGGCACTCTAACGCATGCAGCGCCTGCGGAATACCATTCACCGATATTCTTGCACGGAACATCAAATAAACGTTTTGTTCACTCTCTCCGGACGCAATTTATTAATTGAGTTGTTGTTTTTTTATTTCTTGCTATATCGGTTACAGACACTGACGGCTGTGGCAGCGGACAGCTACGGCGCCACACGCGACCTGTGTTTTGATCTCATAGCAGCTTTCTCTGTGAAACAGGCCCTGCTTCTAAACTCGCACAAGAAAGAACACACGAGGGCATGCACAAGATGTGTTCCTTCTTGCCCGTGTTTTCCAGGACAGTGCCTGTTTTCCTTCGTGATGTATATTTATACGAATGAGCCCACGTTCAAATCTTTTAAGGCCAGTAGCTAACCTGTATCGTTCACCGACATTTGCCTGGCTCTGGCTTATAACTTGGTACTAGTAATACAATAAATGGCACTCTTTGGGATCACTTAATAAAAGGCTTTAAGTAAATCTACATCTTTCTTTTTCATCCTATGTGGCGTACTTCAGTCTGTTGTGGGTGTCAAGTCTGAATTTATATGTGCCCAGAAAGTAAAAAAAAGAGGTACTTAAAACAATGTAAGCCTAGGGGAGTGGGCAAGTATTATTTTTGGAACGAAGCGCCAACAAAGGTATAGCGTTAAAAATATGGCAGCATATTCACGGAGTGAATGATGGATAGTGGGGCGAAGCATCCCTCCGTCCATTCGTTCTTGCTTCCGTCCATCCATGCGTGCGTCTGTGTGGCCGCCCGTGCGTCCATCCTGCCCGTCCGTGCGTGCGTCTATTCGTGCGTCTGCACGTCCATCTGTGCGTCCGTCCATGCGTCCATTCATCGGTGCAAGCCATCCGTGAGTCCGTCCATGCACCTGTCTGTGTGTCCGTTCGTCCATATATTCAACACTCCAAGTACCGCCATCTCGCATCTTCTCATCATATATCCCTCATATAGAAGCACCGCCATTCAGCGGACATTCCAAGGACTGAACGAGAGGAGGCACACGCACAGTTCCTTACGGCTTGCACTTCGTGTCTACTTCCCACCTTTAACCACCTCGAGTTCATGGTATATACTAGTTCAGTGTATTCATGGAACTGCGGCCCAACGCTCGCTAAACCTTTCTAAAATCTAGGAGGTTACGCCCAGCGAGTATAACGTAGCAGCCCTTTCTTGTCTTCTGTGCGTTGTTGAACAATAAAAATTCGCAGCGTGCGCGTTAACTAAAAGCCGAATTCTCCTGTCTCTCATTCCCCTTTAGCAGCCATTGGCATGTACATTGAGCGCTATCTTTTATTGTTCAACAACACACAGAAAAATATCTCACCGGCACCACCTTGGCGGTCAAACTGTTATACTTCTTACACACTACTACAACGGCTACAAGGGACGAACGGGTGCCGCTGTAAACAGCCTTCGCCCATAAAAGATGGTGAACACTGAGTGACGTATGACATGTTTCTGGGCCCAATGCTCCTCTGGTCTTTCGTCCTCTGATAGATGTCCATGTGGGCGATTAATATTTATCAGTAATGACTACACACTCTATTACGAGCCGCGGGAGGGTTGTGCACGTAACTGACATGAGGCATGGCTATAACATATTAAAACTAGATTCGTTGGTTCGTTTCACCAGACAGCAGTGGCTCAACCCACCACGGGTGATCGGCCATAAATCGCGCGGCAGTGAGATTTTGAAAAAAAAGAGAGAGGGGGGATGCCGAAAAAGATGTATTTATGTACACGAAAGAACTAATTGTGCCACCACTGTATCCGCTGTTTTATTTAGTGTTAGTGCACTGAGACCTGGCAACCACACTTAATGTACAGCACTGAACATGATTGGGCATATCTGTATAAAATTCTGATGAACAAGGCGATGTCTTCGGTACTGTCAGAACGGTGCAAACGAATAAAGAATCAGTGCAATATAACCACCGAAGTTGAGAGCTTGCGTATTGCCAGAATGACTGCCAATAATTCTCCTGCAATATCGGCGTAAAGCAGTCTAAGTGAAAAAGAACAGTTTGATGCTCTTGAATAGGATGCCCACTCGCGCTTTCTCGGCATTGCCAGAAGCTTCTGTGGCTATAACTGAACTTATCTATAGGGTATAGAGGTGGTCTTCAATCAACCAAGTCGAATATCTTATCGGCAAAATTTTAGCAATTTTTTCGAAATGTGTCATCAAATTTTCTTCTTACCGTAGGAATTCGTACTTGTGAGAAACTCACGTCCCGGTTTTTACCCCTAATGGCTTTCAGAGCTTTCGCACATTAACTATTTGAGATCGATGTAGCCGAGAACACTCACAATAAAAAAATATATGGATGGCTCGCTCACAAATACGTATTAGGAGCGTGTCTGTGGGGAGGGATAGATGTTTAGAAATGTTTGAGCAGTTAATATGCAAAACCTAGTTTTTTAGAGGAAGCAGATATGCTCCATGATGAACAACATTATTAGCGACAAACTTAGGGATGCCTAAACATATGCGCGATTCATCACGCTCTATATAGAGAAGATGCCGTTATTTATAAACAGATCTCCCAAAGAACAGCACACATCCAAACTCTACTTTCGGGCGGACACACATGCAATATATCATCCAAACACTTCTACGCATTCCAAATCGATCATTGTTGATGCGCCGGAACAACCCAACCGCACGTAATCGCTTAGACGCAATATATTCAGTATGTGACCTATATTTCAGATTTGCAGTGTATATTATACCCAAGTACTTTAATGAGTCTACTTGTAGAATAAAGTCCTGGCCATGCATCAATGCGATCCGCACAGGAGAGCTAAATAGATATGCAAGAAGGGCACTCTTTTTAATATTAAATGACATGCGCAGGTCGCTAAGCCATAATTCTGTGGTATCCAATTATGACGGTCAAAATATTGTACAACGAGTGCGTCTTGGCAAGCTGGAAATAATGCTATATTGTCT